AAAACGTAGTTTGATAATAATAAAATTGCAGGTGGTTTAATTGTTGAATTTGCTGTTAATAATTCTATTATTTGGCAGAGTTTCTCAAAAGCATGATTAATGGTTGACAAAAAGTTCACGTACTGTTGACTAATACTAAAATGATTCATTATAGACGAAATATTTCGGTACGTGTTATTACTATATTGTAGATAAATAACCGCTAAAACTGAATGTATGTTATCATATTTTATTTTATTTCAGATATAATTTGAACCAATTTCAACAACACTCTGATGAGAAGGTGTGGTCTGCATTGGACAAGTGTCACATGAAAAGCACGGTAATTACAGTAATTCAGGTTGTGCCTGGTGACGTTGTAGAACTGGTTATGATCAGACTTGTTTTTATTAATAAGGTATTACTTCCTTAAATGACAGTCTTAATTAACTTTTATGCAGGTACTTGAACTCGAAGGAAAATTGGATGCCTCCGTTGTTGAAAATGGTGAGAATTTTTCAGTTGGAGAAAGACAGTTACTATGTATGGCAAGAGCGTTGCTCAGAAAATCAAAGGTAATGTTCAGTTCACAGTGTCGTTGTTATTCAGGGGATATAATGCATTGCTCCTTGTTTGGAATAATGATGAATGGAAAATTTGAAAAAATATGTTGCATTCCTATACAAAAGTATGGGCATTCAATTAACATAGACATTTAGGTGAATGCACTTTACTATCATATTATACCCTCCTTTGGGCACGATCTTAATAGTGTGTATTTGAAATGAGTATTTCATAATCGCATAGTCCAATGTTGTTATTTATAACATGTGATCGTTCATAATATTGCTATCTGTCATGCGTTATGAGTTGTGGATAGATTGACAAAAACAAATAAACAAGTGAATGAAATCTAATGATTATTGTACAGATCCTACTGTTGGACGAATCCACTGCTTCTATTGATACAGCGACTGACAGTCTTATACAACAAACAATTAAAGACGCGTTTCAAGATTGTACTATGTTAATAATAGCACACAGGCTGAACACTGTCTTGAATTGTGATGAAATTATGATCATGGACCAGGGAAAGGTAAAAAGTTACCAATAACATTCATTCATCATATTCGCATATATAATACGAAGTAAATTAGTAAATATGTTGTAGTTACCAATCCGCATAACTAATTAGGAAAATACGTTTGGAAAAATATTGCATATTAAAAATATGGTATATGTTTGTTATATGCCAATTATGTAACTGTATTTGTTAATGACAATGATTTCCCTCCTTCTATAGGTTATTGAGTTTGACAAACCCTCCCTCCTTCTTGCTGATTCAAATTCAAGATTCAGTGCAATGATGGCAGCTGCTGAAAACAATGACGACGGGGGTAGACTGTACTGATTATTCCCACATAGAGTGCTTTTTATTCTTCAATTGACAACCTGAAAGATTACTATATTGTTGTCGGAGATTACAGTTACTTTCATTTCCAGGAGTGCTTTGAGTTTTGCATGCTCAATTTCAAAGTTCAAAGATGCGCCTTTTTTCATTCCGAATGATGCTAGGGTAGATGTTGTTACAATTTTGAAATCGAAGGTAGGTGCATATACCAAGACTTGCTATAAAATAATTTGTAATATAACGTGACTATTGAATACTATTTTACGGCAAGACCGACTTTTTAATTATGATAAGTTATATGTCCAGTTGTCCATCTACAATGTTTAATGTAATTGGCTTGCAATGTACCAACATATTACATAAACTAAATTCGTTTTTATTTTGCCCGTATCATCAAAGATGAAAGGGAAAGGTATATTAATGGAAAAATTTCTGTCCGACGTTGTCATTGTCGTCGTCGTCGTTAATAATTGTTATTGTATGCACAATAACTTTAGTAATTCTATTCTAAAATTTGTCAAAGTTCGTCACCTAATTCTTCCCTTATATTAGTATGAACGACAAATGTCCTGTATGAAAAATATCATGCAAAATATGAGAAAATCTGATAAAAATGTTGACTTTTTCTACTTGACTAATCACTGGTGATACAAATTCAAAAGTCACTGATCTCAGTGAGAATATGCATTGTTCTATGTGTTCAATGAAGCAAATCATTTGTCTTGTAATAATATCGTTAGTGATGTATCTCCCAAATCTTATGGGAATA